CCGGCCGCCCCCGCCCCCGCCCCCGCCCCCCGCTTCAAATATTACTTAAATTAGTATTCTGTAGTCATTATTCATTCTAACCATGCTAGAAAATAAACAGAAGATACCCGATAAACCAGTTTAGATTAGAAAAGGAAAATATCAAGTTTAATTGCATAGCAGGTCTTATTGTCTTTTCACATCAAATTTTCTGATTCTTTCATCTCAACTCTGTATAACCTGTAGTGAAACTAGCTGTCTATTTACATCACATAGAAAAGACATTAGAAATAGATAAGATGCAACTGGGATGGAGTTCATGACTTGCACAGGCCACCTAAAGAGATGCACTATCTCAATTGGAAATGACAAGATACGCTGTATATTCACAAATCAGTCATCCCTTTGTATTCGAGATGCCTGCAAACATCACAGATCAACAGGAACGTTGAAAACCATCCACCAACACGCTTCCAGCAAAATCTTCATCCTAATTACTGAAACTTTCTCCAAGAAATGAGGCTCGGTGTATGAGGAATGTAGTTGAAACGTTCTTCATCAATTTTTAGGAGATGCATTTCTTCTATTTCCAAATTTAGGAAGTCATCACTTTTGTGCAAACAGCAGTCGCGCAGCAGATGATATCGAACTCCTCCGTTAGCATGTTAAACCTTAAAATCGAGTTATGACAAGGGTGATCAACAAATCCTCTGCTTTTTGGTTGACAGTTCTGAAAAGCAGGTTTGGACACCAATGATGAACTATTGAGTGAAGTTTCCCATCAACAGCAGCAGTGGAGAAAATATGGCAATAAAAAAAACTTGCAGGTTGTCTCCGACATCATCAGACTGAACATCATGTACCAGTATGTTAAATAATTATTTTAATTTAAAAATTTAAGTTATTAAATAAAATTTTAAAATATAATTTATATTATTTTTTAATATATTTTTTCAAGTAAAAGTTTTTTAACTTAAAACTTGCATAACATATATTATTTTATGTTTAATTTTTATTATATATATAGGGATATCATATATTATTTTATACTTAATTTTTATTATATATATAGGAATGAAAAGATTTAAACGTATAATTACTTAGTTATTCTAATATTATATAAAATAATCATTTTAAATTAAAAATTTAAATTATTAGATAAAATCTTAAGAAATTATTCTCTAACACGATAACATTCATAGTCTTCAAATACAAATAGAACACTATAATCCACTTTCAAATCACGGAAGAAGAATCCACAAACAAAGGCATTTCTCGGTGGTGTTGCGAGAGTGATTCTTTCCTGGTAGAGTGGATTGCAGACAAAATACTCGACTCCTGGCTCAAGTGCTTTGAACAACACTAACCCGTTGCGAGAGCATAGAGCCGAACAATCAAGCAGTTGCAGTCAGCGTGCGGTACCTTGCTTATTTGACTTAAAGGGGGTGTACAAGGATTTAGTTAACTAGTCGCGTTAAAGTTTGACTGTTTGCGTTAATCCTAGGCCCCTCATCAATGTAAAGACAGCAAGACTCCTCTGTAAAAGTCACACGATTCAATAATTCCAGGAGCAGCTAGTTCTTCAGTTGCTGTTGGGCAAAAGATAGAGTTGAAGTTAAAGGCTCCCCATTTTTTGCACACTCGTTGACAATCAGCTGAGCATTTCAATGAGAACATCATTAGAGATGTGTTCAATATCAACCATTCTTTCTACTCCGATGAGTGATAAATGTGTCGACCAATAGATCACAAAGAAACGAATTCCTCAAGGAGCAGTACAGGACTATGGTGCCTGCCTGCATGCAAGAAAGAAGGGCAACAAAATATTAAAGAATCTGATACGTGAAATACATATTGCAAGTTTCCTTTGATAAGGGCAACACCAAGGGTTGCTTGACTGAAAACAAGAAAACAGAATATCCACGTTCAAAATCACAGTAAATCATTTCTTAATGTTACTTGACAATGGCAGAACCAATCCACAATTAGAAACAGTGAATTCAATACATGGGAAATCACAAAGATCCATCATATATTCCTCTGAACTCCAAACAATATCATGAAATGAATAGAAGGAAAAAAAGAAAAAGAAAAAGAAAAAGTGTGACGACCATAATAGTTGGGTAGAAACGGCATGTCGTCTGCTCTTGGGGACCACCTAATCCATTAAAGAAAACGGGTTAACCCGAAATTGAGTCTTCCTCTCTCTAAGGTAAAACCCTTCTTCTCCCCTTCTAAAACCTCTCCTTTCATTTTCAAAGCTTATATTTTCATTCAAACGAAAACTTCTCACTGATTCCTTTCGCTGAAATCAATGAGTTCCCTTGTTCTTAGATTTGCTAAGCTTTTAAGAGTCCCTTCTCCTGTTATCATGCCCACCTATTCGCTAGGTTTCCCACTCTCTCTTTTTATGTATAAGTTCGTGTCTCTGCGTGAGTGCGTGTATGAGCATGCTATGTATTATACTTGCTAAGGTGCAATATTTTTTGTTTATTATGCAATTGGGATTTTGGGTTTTGTGCAAAACCCACTTCAAAGAACTTTATGTGGTTGAATGTGGTGCTTTTGAAATTCTTGTTCTTAGAAGAATTTTATCAAACAGTTAAGGGAAATTAGTGAAAGTGTTTGTAAAGTGCATATTTGTGGAAATATTGAAAGGCATGTGTGTGAGTGAATTGTTTGAATTGATTTTGTGTGTCATTGTAGGGGTAGGTTTGCAAAGAAGCTTGAGGAGTTGTTACTCAACTGTGTCATTTAACAGTGACAATGAAGAGGGGAAGAATGATAAAGTGGAAGAGGAGTTTGATGATTTTCTTGGCGATAGGCGCGAGTCACGGTTCCAAGGTGTGGATCCTAGAAAAGGATGGGAGTTTCGCGGTGTGCACAGGGTACGTTTTTTTTTTAAGTGTTTAATGAGTGACTGAAGGTTGTCCTGGTTTGGTTGGATGTCTCTTGTAAATGGAATGGTTTTCTCTGTGTTTTAAGTAGCATTGGAAAAGTAGAATTTGATATTTTTGATGTGCTGTCACTGAAAACTGGACCCATGATCGCTAATCATTGCATCAAATGACAATGTTGCAACTTTGTTCGATGATGGCTGTGTTTCATATTGGAAATGCTCGTGTGGTTGGAATTCTGTGAAGTGTTGCATATGAAACATGAGGAGCATTTCAGCTTGCTTTGATGGTTTTAATGCTATCTCATCTTTTCTTTCTTTTTACTTGGATAAAAGAATTGGTTAGAGAAGAAATCATAATGATGCTTAATCTTGAAATTCGCAGCTTTTCCGTTTGGCTTGATTTATTTTGAGGTGTTTTGATATAAATATTAAATAATAAAGATCATCTTAAAATTTCAATGCGGTTAATCTTCTATGGTGTTCGTTTTTCTTTTTTATTTTCAATTAAGGAAAAGTATAATTAACTCATAGTATTGTTTTTACAGGCAATTATTTGTGGAAAAGTGGGACAAGCCCCTGTGCAGAAGATCTTGCGAAATGGGAGGACTGTAACCATCTTTACTGTTGGAACAGGGGGCATGTTTGACCAAAGAATTATAGGATCAAAAGACTTGCCGAAACCTGCTCAGTGGCATCGAATAGCTGTGCATAATGATTCACTTGGGGCTTATGCTGTTCAACAACTTGCCAAAAAGTATATATTTAATCTTTATAGAACTCCCAATTGGATAGAGAAAACAAGCTAAATTTCCTCTAAATTGTTTTTTTTTTTGTCTCACAAATGGATCTTTGGTTCAGCTCTTCAGTTTATGTTGAGGGAGACATTGAAATTAGAGTTTACAATGACAGCATTAGCGGTGAAGTTAAAAACATTCCTGAGATTTGTGTTCGTCGTGATGGTATGTCTACTTCTAATCCCCCCCCCCCACACACAGCCCACCCACACACACACACATTCTCCCACCCATTGTTGTTATCATTATTACTACAGAGTTCAAAGAGGTTTTGGTTTATTCCTTTTGGTATCATCCTGCCTCATGTAATAATAATATATGGCAGTGTTGCTTAAGTTTCAATGCTGCTTGGAAATTAGTAGACTTTTCAGCTTTAGATTGAAGATAAATGATTTCTGTTGATTGTATGAAGTTGACTCAAGACCCAAAAACATTAGACAGAAATCCCTCTATGATAGTAGTGACAAACTCAAATGATATGCTATTAAAAAGTATCTGGCACCATTGTGCGGCATTGAGCCTCATGGGGTTAAATACTGCTCTATTGTCTTTTTTCTGATCATCATGTTACATTTTGTTTTAGTTCAATACAGCTTGTTGCTATTTTGCTATGTTATCAGGATGAATTGGGAGGATAGAAAGATTATTTGGTTACCACAACTGTGGGCTTTCTGACCAAGTGGTGTCCTTTTCTTTTACAAACAAACCTTAACTTATAAAAATGATTGCATGAGGACGTGGAGATGAGTGTAAATGTCTATCAAGATCACAGCATCTGATGTAGTTGTGTGAATGGCCTTGAACTCAACCTGGTGTTGAGGTTTTGGGTTGGGGGGGGATATAGATATATTTGACTAGAAATTTTGGTTTTGGCGTATAAGTACAAGTTAGTACACTGAATAGTCCTCATTTTCAACGCCTTGCAATTTAACCTCTGCAGGAAAGATTCGCTTTATAAGGAGTGGAGAAAACATCAATAATATTTCCTTTGAGGATCTGAGTAAGTTCTCCTCTCCCTGCCACTTTCTAATGATGACATGGTCATGATATAGTATTGAGTGATTTATTTTTTACTGTTAACTGGGATATGATATTTTCATCATGGACATGCGATTAGTTTTTACTTTGTAGTCATCTTTGAGTGATAGAATTGCCTATCTAACTTTCATCAATTTTTCCTTGAGGAGATGCCATTAACACCTGCATCCTTATTTGCAGGAGAGGGATTGTTTAGCTGAAATTCACTTGATATTTCGTGTTAATCTTCCCTAAAAAGCAAGAGTAGCTGTTTCCCCTAACTTTTGTAAGAACTATGGTTCCAGGTAGGCTGAATGTGACAGGCCCAGACAAATAGCTTTTGGTTCTTATGTCTATCCTTGACTTGTTTTGTGTACCCTTTTTTCCTAAATTCTGTGTGAGTGTGTGTGGATGAGGGTGGGTGGGCGGTGGTGGTGTATACATTTTTTTTTATTGTAGAGGTTATTTGATTGATGGGATTTTATATTTGTTTTATATGAGAATCATGGTATCAATGAGATTGATATTGTACTGAATTTTACCATTCTTTATCCTTATTGATTATGTCATTTGATTGTGAATAACTCTGCTTTTTGTACTGTACATTTGTGGTGTCTAGGTGCATTTAACAGCATGTCTAGGTGCATTTATCCGTTGTCAAAGGTTGCTTGATATTAGAATTGTTGTGACGAAGTGATAGGGACCTTGTAAAATTGAAAGAAAGACAATTGGTCATCCTGAAATCGCCAGCTCAAGTCCCAAATTGATCTATCTTTGAAATATCATGTACAAACTTCCCTCAAAAACGAAGAAAAAGAAATATCATGTATACTACTCTAAGCAAATTTATATAGTCACCCTAATTTAGGAACTTTTGGAACGGTCTTATTCCTAAACTGTTTTGTTGAGCTTCTTAAATTTTGTGTATGCATCTGTTGATATCAACTGCTGGGAAAAAAAAGTTTCATTTTTAAGTTTTTTAATGATCTTTATTGTTACACCCCTATTTGACTGCTTAATAAGCTAGCTTCAGTCTTTTAGATACAGAAAGAAGGATTTCTCAAAATCATTCAGGTTGCATTAAGGTCATAAAAGCACAACTGGTACACTTCGACCCTTTGATTAGGCAAACCAACTGTTAAGATTCAAGTGCAGATTTGAAGATACTGCAAGGACAATATGTTTGTTCTTGGCAGGCCAATATGCATCATGGATTGGCATTTCAGACAATGCAATGCAATGTAGTTTGTATGCATGAAAAATCTATTAGCAATGAAATGTTTGTTGCAATTGAGTACGGCCTAAAACATATTGAAGTTTTAGAATCTATTTTGACTGCGAAGTGTGTTTTGTCAATCAAATATCTGGCATTTCAGAGAAATTGCTAAAGACTCTTCCTCAGTAACTTAAGACTTGGCGGTACCATTTCACTGCGTTATTCTACTTGATCTTGCCTGTTTGTTGTCGCTTCCTTTTTTTTCTGAGTCATTTAATACTGGAACAGTCTGCATGTCAGTACTAACTACTGCACCGGTGAATAGTGCTGTCTGAGCATGGTGTTTGACATTTCTATGTAATCGTATTTCAAAAAGTTTGTTTCCAAAGTTTTAAATAATTTTTTTGTATTTTTAAATTATTTTGATATATTAATATTAAAAATAAATTTTAAAAAATAAAAAAAATATTTTCAAGTAAAAATATTTAAAAAATAATCTCTATAACAATTAGAAACATGTAACATACAAGTTATTCATTCACCATATCTATTTGTCTAGGGCTGAATTATTTACATGCAATTAAACTTGAGGTTTTTCTTTTTTAATCTGCACTGATTTATCGTGTATTTTCTGTTAATTTGTTGACATGGTTAGAATGGATGATGACTATAAAACACTGATTTAAGTACAATACTTGACACCTCAGGGGTCTTAGTTGGGTTGGGTTCAGCTGGCCCCAGTTTTATCTCAAAATACTTTTTATTATCTAAGAGAATTAATGTTATTTCTATATTGTAACTTTATGAAGCTATTCAAAAAGTCATCAGTGATGACACGTGTCTATAATGTTTACCATAGACTCTACATTTGTTCAAAGCTCGTAGATCTACTTGCTCATTAGGAGTTTTTGTTGTACAAGGTAATCATAGCTCGACAGCTGTCCTTTTTATGTTAGATTAATGACCTAACGGTGTTATATTAAGATGACATGCTAACTTTTGTCAGTTTGTCCTTATTCAACCCAGAGAACTTTTATCATTTAATATAATCCACTCGAGGAAATGGGAGCCCCTCGAAGGGAAATGGCCTATGATAATTCTAAACAAGGAAAGTGGGATTGCCCTTTTTGTTGCATTGTCTCCTTGACGCATGCTCACCATAGAATTCATTTGAAAACCATCAAAAGGAATCCTATTACGCAACAGATGAGATTATGGAGGCAAAACCAACTTGCTGAATAACTTAGCGTGCACCCTTTTACAGTGTTTTGATCATTATATCGAAAGTTTCAGTTTTTCATTTGCTGACCTATTATGTTTGTTATTACTAGATTTATGGTATAATGCTGACTTCATGGCCCCCGTTACTGCATTTTAATACCGATTAGCAATACTCTGCAGTGAGGTTCTAGCACTTCTTGACATGTGAACACCTGTCCTTATAGTCATTAATATTTGTTGTATCATCGAATCATGATTGCTCTCTTTGCCAAACTTCTCATTTATCGAAACTGCGAGTCACATGTTGATTAATCCTCAGTTTTCTGGTCAGTTAGGCTAATCCTTAACTGCATTATACTACCGATCAGCAATACCCTGCAGTGAAGTTCTAGCCCTTCTTGACATGTGAGCACATGTCCTTTAGTCATTAATTATTGTTGTGTCGTCGAATCATATGATTGCTCTTTTTGCCAAACTTCTCATTTATCGAAACTACGAGTCACATTGTTGATTAATCCTCAGTTTTCTGGTCAGTTAGGCTAATCTGATAGCTCAATGATTGAGTGACCTGACGAATCAGTTGGGGTTTATATATTTGTCTCAGATTCTATCGGTCGGCACATTGTAACTTCAACTAATCAGCTTCAAAGTTCATGGAGGTCATAAAAACTTCATGACTATTTAATTGCATTTATTTGGCAAGGTAGCAGAGAATCTGCCATGTGTGCAGGCCCCAGATTGCATGATATTGCACTAAGGGAAACCGCACTTCTATCAGAATTCATTTTTGTTTATGTTTTCCGTATCTTAGAGCATGATTTAATTAATTTAGCCGTAGTTAATTGGCTTCATGGCTCACCAAGGAGTTACTTCGGCGTGGATTTGTCTATTTAAGGCATCTAGCTGTTAGGCTCCTTGCTTCACTTGGTCTTTTCCTCTTATGTTTCTGAACTCGAGAGTCAAGATGATGTTTCTTGTAGCCTTTTTGCTTACTTTACAATCTCATGTGCCAGCCCTTGATGCTTGCCCTAAATGTGGCAACATGCTAGTCCCTTACCCACTTAGCACAAGTGATAATTGTGGAAACCCTATGTACAGAATCTATTGCAACAATGGTGCTCTAGAGTTCCTGTCAGCTCAAGGACTATACTACAGGATTCTCAGTATCAATCCTAGTGCTTATAAACTTGTCATACGCCCTCCCCTAATAGGGAAAGACACATGCTATTCCTCTGATCTTGCCGTAGGAGGATTAGGGCTTGACGAGAACTTGCCATTCAACATATCCGTTCGCAACACTGTTATGTTATTCAACTGTTCTGATAACATTCTTCTGTCACCATTGAATTGTTCGTCGACCAGCTATTGTAGGCAGTACGAGGAGATAGAAGAGGGGAGTGGGTGCAAAGGAACTCTTTGCTGCCACTACTTGAAAGACGCATCAATGACTTCGCATAGGATTAGGATTAGAGTTGGAGGGTGCACAGCTTATACTTCTGTTGTGGACATCAAACCTGTGGATCCCGTTGATAAATGGAACTATGGAATTGAGCTGCAATGGATGCCTCCAAACTAGGAGGCAGCACGTGACTACTTGTGGTGCAAGCTTCTGAACTATATGATATATAGTCTATGTTATTGCTTGTTATGCCTACTTTAATTACAGCCCATGTCCTCATCTGCTGTTCCTTCTGTTACTCGCACGTGTGTGCTTGTTCCTTCTATATTTTGCTAATAATGAATCAATCTGTGCTCCTTTTCCTGTTTTTACTACTGAGAAGCTCCTTTAATTAATTCTATTTAAAAAATAATAATGAAAAATTAATGATTTAAAAAAGCTTCAGATTTATCATTGTTCCACCGACAAATAATCTCATATCCTAGACTTTTATTAAATGAAAAACAAATGAAAAAAAATACTATGGATGTAAATTATAAAAGGATCTAATATTTATATCGAAGTTTTATTCTAATATTATAATTATAAAAAAAAATGTTTTTTTTATACGGGTAATATATGTCTTTGTTGAGTCATAGTATTATGAAGAAATTTCGAGTATTTTATAGAGAGAAAAAAAGGAGAGAATAGTTGGCTTTTTTACTATCAAATCAAGTGAAAATAAATTTCATAATCACTATCAACATTCCATGAAAATATCCATCATAATTAAGAACTAATAAATAAATAGACTAATGATGAGTTCATAGAAATAGAAAGACTCACCATCTCTTGTAAGAAAATTATTTATTGAAATGAGAATATATATATATATATTAAAATAACAGGAAATTTCAATGGATAAAAAAAAACCTAATATGTCAAAAAAAAAATATAAGTACTGACAGAAGTGTCACGAGGTAATTTTTCACTCCATGAATAAAGCAACAACCTAACCCTTCTTTAAAATCAGCCTTCCCTTGTCAATATCACTTGTGTTTTCCTAGTAACTAAATGTTTCCCTCACCCGAAAGGTTTTCCCCACCTTTTCAAGTTAGAAGACAAGAGGAATACATAAGCAGATTGCACAACACAAAGCCAAGCACATCGAAAATACAAGAAAAACTTTTAACCTTTATTTATCTTATCAATAAAGGATTACACAACAAGAGTGTGTGCTATGTACAGAAATCGCATGCTACATAACCAAACTTATACACGTTATTTTCTCCCTATGTATCCTCTACACAACCAAGAGTTGCAATAATTATTTATAGCCAGGTATATTAGCTACAAGGCACACCCATTAACTTTATTTTTTAGAACATAGTGGAACACTTTTTTCTGCATGATCTTAATGACCTATTTTTTAGCAAGTGATAGGACAGTTACTCTCTCATGATCCCATGATCTCAATAACTTGAAGAGCGCCCTAGTTATGCTCCCACATTCTGCCCTCGTGATATTGCCACTTCATCCATGTTCTCTAGTTATCTACCTGGCAACCCCAACTGCTAATTCTTGTTACATCAGCTATTGAGTCACTTGTATCCCTTGGACAATCCTTCGTCCAAGTTTCAGCTCGTGCCAAGTCGAACCTATGATTTGCACTAGCCATTACATTGCACAACACAATGTAAAATCTGCATGCAGGCTGTTAATGTTTGCACTGTTGAATTATGCGATAGCCCCAATTCTCGTTAGCCTATCCCCTTGACGAGTTTCTTTACTTGGCTTGGACAGTCTATCATCCAGTCCATATTCGTTAACAATCTTCGCTGTCAATTTTCTCTTAAAGAATTAAAAGCTGCACAAATCTGTGCTACTGATTTTTCTCACTAGTGGCATGATTGACGACACCTTTAGGCACTATTTTGGACAGCCTCCCAAAGTGTACATCTCATGCCCATTTGACATTGTTACAAGAAACTTTTTTATCCTTTTGATATTAAATTAATCATTTTCTTAACAAAAAAAAAACAATTACTCTAATATATTGTAATTCCTCAAAAACAAATATTGATTTTCTCATGAAAAAATAAAGGTCTTAGTATCTGTATGCTCATTTTACATTTCGACAACAATTTTTTTTCTTTTATGAATAATAGAATTAGCAAGCATTGGATAGCTGTAATTAAAAGCTTTAACCTTTGGCTTTACAAAATTTGTGCAGCAAAAATCAATATAAAACTAATTTATTTTTGTAATCTTTTGCTAACCAAGGACAAATACCCCAGCACCTTTGGTAGGCGTGTCCCTAACCTTTGAACTTAAGGTCCATCACCCTTTACAAGTGTGTATTAGAAGTGTTGAATCCTAGACCTCATGAATATAGAATTTAAAAATATTTTATAGATACTTAACAACTTAATTATTTCATTTCTTTTCTTTCAAGTTATGATATTAATAGTTCTCTATACCATCTTAATCATATTATTCAGATGTCTCATTTTCTCATCTATTAAATTATATACTCATTGAAAAAAATATTGTTTGTTTATATAAAATTGGTTAAATTGGGTATTTTTTAAAATAGAAACATAAAACATGCTTGATAAAAAAAATTAAAAAAACAAAATTATTGTGATTCCAAGTCACATGTGGTTTAATAACTAGGATTAAATATGAATATGTTTTGAGGGTTGAGAGATGAATGACATGAAGCTTCTTTATATTTGATTATTAGATGAAGCATTGAGTGGCATGGGGTAAAAAGCTAGGTTTTCAAAGGCAATCTTGTGAAATGGTTGGAATTTTTTATTGTTTTTTGGGAATAGATTAGGTTATAGTATAGGTCATGGAATCTTTAAAACCTAATCTCCCATACTTCTTGAACCATTTTATTTTAACCCCCACAATTAAAAATATTTTTAGATATTTTTTATGAAGAATTAAATTATATTTGTGATTTAATTTTCATTGTTTCATGGAGGTAGAAATCATCACAAAAGACCTAGGCTTGCGTGAGGAGCTCAATCCAAGGGAACTATAGGCCTTTTGATGGGTGCCAGAAAAAGAACCATTCAAGCCAGAGAATTAAGTCCATGGATCTTTGAAAGATAAATCTACTGAGTTTAAGTTTACTTTTTTGCCGATCATTCCCACACAGATTCATGGAAACAACCTTGTTCAATGCCTCTTCTGGAACCACACAACAGACCCTGAAAATTCTTTGCCTCACGCTCTACAGTTGCAAATACACTTGGAAAGATTTGCATTGGTTATCTGGTGCAGTTTAAAAAAAATTAATTCAAGAAAAGCTACAAGTTATAGATTTTTCTTGACCAATATCTCAAATAAAAAATTTCAGTCTGTGATGCAAACACTTTAGAGCAAAACATGTAGAGCCACATTTCCGGTTATTTTGATCTTTTTTCAAAGGAAATAGAAGTACCATAACCATATATCCATATCAGTGGAAGCTGCTCCCAGGAGAAAATAGAAAAAGTTGTTTATCATCCCTTAAAACCAAACAATTTGACAAAAACATTGAAACTCCTAACTGTAAACAACATTGAACCTCATACATAGAAACGATCTTGTATATAGCTTGTTGTTCTGTTACATTGTATCAGAAGTAAATAATGCACGAGGGAGTAAATTTCGAAGTGGATGCGAAGAAGATGCTGCAACAGAACATTTAACTATGCAACCTTCATTTTTACTTACAAATTAGCAATCAAACTATCACAAACATATCTATTAGACAGCATCTCTGTCTTCGGTCAGTCAGTAAAAGCCGAGCACAAACAAGAAATCAATACAAACAATTGAAAGACAAAAACACCTACTCCCTGTATTTCTACCTCATTTCTTACACATCTATTCCAATCAGTACTGGAAAATAAAACCAAGCATGCTCATACTGCCAGCAAAAATATGTCAAATATTTACTCTGTTTCCAGATAAATTGCTATGTCATCACAGTGGGTCTGCTCGACCTTTTGCCTTCCATGGCATCTTTCTTTTTCTGACAGTTACTGCAGAGGAAGGGGCCTTCCCGTGGCTTTGATCCAGGTGAGAAGAATGAGCCCGAGTTTACTGATAAACTGTCACCAGGGGTTTGATCCACTTGGCAAACAGCACATCTGCATAGCCCAGAATTTGCGTTCGCAGGGAAATACTTACTTAATCTGCATTTTCATTAAAAAAAAATAACAACAAATTAAAACTACATTTCAAGAGGCAGAGCTTCTAAACTCCTTATTCCCTCTTTCACTTATTAGTTCATTATATAAGCGAAAAAAAAAAGGAAAAAAAAGAAAGAAAATCAGTTATCATGATCACTGAATAAGAAGATAGGTAAGCAGAAGACCATTACGGGTAGAGTTTGCCTCTGATATCATACTCAATGGTTTTGCATATACTATTTGTGAAAAATAATAAAAAATGAATTTTACAATCAGCATACCGTTCTGCAAGAATAGCAGAACCCTCTTCAAACAGTTCCTCAACCACACCAACAGCAGAAAGCTTTTTCGTTGATTTGCTCACAGAACTCAGCGCTTTCTTTCCAAAAAGCGAACTGAACATATTATGCTTCTTCCTCGGTATTGCAGGCAAGACAGGAATGTCGGATGGGATGATATCAACAACAAGGCATGTTGTATCATCCTTCAGCCCCCTTGACCTCAACGCCTCCTAAAGAGAAACAACAAACAAGTATTAGCAATAAAGCAATAGAAGCACTGTTGCATGCATGCAAGAAGCAAGTGTATGCTAGATGTCACCTTAACAACCAACTTTGCAGCAATCTCTGCAGGCAAACCCCTACATGACTTGGCAGCCATATCAGAAGATAAAGCATCCCAGATACCATCGGAAGCAATAACAAGTCTTCCTCCAGCATTTGAAAGCTAAATAACCAGAAAATAAATTCCTGAGCTTCAAAATTAATTAAAAAAAGCAGAAAACAAATCAAAATTAGAAAATAGACTCACTTTCACTTGCTTGACATGAGGTATTGGAACAATGAACTCTCCAACATCCGTGTCACCTATTGATCTAGAAAGACATAATCCACCAGGCCAACAACGCAAGGGACCAACCTACAAACCATTGAGAGATTGGACAAATAAGATTAAAGAAAAAAAAACGTGAGGGAAGGAGAGGAGCATAAAATACACATCTGAACAAGTCCTAGGTGACATATAAAAAAGAGCACTATACCTCGTTGCCTCCAAAAACATTTAGCCTTCCTACTTCACCCCCACTTGCAGTTACTCTTTCTCTCTCTTCAACATTTTCTTCCAGCCTGTGATCAACTGTCAAAAGAGAAACCACACCCCCCTGGCTGTCCAATATGCATCGTGAATCCCCCACGGAAGCAACAGTCACAGTCCACTCATCAATTACAACAAATGTCACAGTTGTCCCAGAAGTCTCCCCTGTCATTTGTATCAAACTGAAAGATTAGTCTGTGCCCACAGAAATGCACAGAGAAAATAAATACAAGATGCAACAAAGAAAAATAAAACTACAACCGAAGGGATACAGATCCATACCTTTCTGCTGGAATTCTATGTCAGTTTTCACAAATCCAGCAACTAGTGCTTGAGGAAGTGCTTGAAGCCACTCTTCTCTAGTGATATCTTGAGGAATTGCACTCAAGACGTTATCCAATAACTTCTCCTTCACAAAGATGGCGGCTGATACCCCATTATGTCCGTCAAAGATCTGCTAATAAAATGGATACTAAGAATTCCTATGGATCATCAACAAAACCAAATTTATGAATTTCTGTGGGTTTCAAAGTTGCTCCTAATTTACATAGGGTCAACTAAATCACGGAGTAAGGTAGAAAAACAAAAAGGGAAAAAATTAAAGATTCAAATCAATAGTCTCCCACTATTTGGGACAGAAGGAGAAAAGAGGGTGATTCACTTTTCTTGTTAGAATTGTAAATTATTTGATCCTTTCCTTCTCTTCTACTTGATTCTCTCAGAACATGCAGAATCATCTCTTGGATGAGGAGGTAAATAACATGTAAGAAAAAAAAGGGAGTACCGCAAACACAGAGAATGATGTCGACAGATCCCCAGGAACCCTCTGGCAGTCAGGTTTTATGAGAAAGTAATCCTCGCCTTTCTTTGCTAAAGCAGCTTGTCCATACTTCACAAAAGGTTTCTCAATCTTCTCATTCCTAAGCTCACGCCCAATCAATGTCGCAAGTGGAACAAGAGGAGGTCTCATCCTCGATATATTGTCCTGGCTCATGACAATTTATGTGTCAACACTTTCCACAACCCCAGTGCCAAAACCCTATTCAATCTTCATTAAGCAAATTAAAGATGCACATGTGACTGAATCATTAAACCCTTACATGACAATTTAGTTCAATAAACACTAAAATCAACTATAAAGGACCAGCTTTTCCAGGATCTTTGAACCGTGAAAAGAAAAACAAAAACTTTCGAGAAAAATGCCATCTACTTCACACTATCACACAGGCATCTGAACTAAATTCTAAATTCTCTAAATCAATTCAGTACAAAATAATGCACCTACAAGACAACTAAAATAGCTCATCCAAGCCTCAGTCTTTATTTTACAAGAGATAAAAAAAAGAACTCATGCCAAAACCTCATTTCCATAATTCCAAACAAGCAAGATTCTAGTTCACAATTTATCAACCACCCCAATTCTCCACTATATTATCTAGTTTTTTCCTCAAAAACCCAGATATAAAAAAATCCAATAACTAAACCCAGAATGTGCAAATCTCAAAAAATGGGTCTACATTATCTTCCATCAAAACAAACCCACTAAACTTCTTCTACAAAGTCTCATCAAACTATTCAGTATTACTCAAATCTCAAGAAATGAGTCTTCCTTGTTTTCCATCAAGAACCAAACTTGAGTCCCAAAATACAAAAAAAAAAAAAAAAAACATAAAGGGTCACCCACTTGAGCTAAAAAACACAACTTTAATTACACAAACACAAAATGTACATAAGAAAAATGAAAAACAAGAACATTAAAAAACAAACCTAGAAAAGAAAGAACACTCACAGTTGAAACATGAAGAGGTCTCAACAGATCCAGCATTGACAAGATTTGATCTATTAATTACCTCTCCATTTCTGAAACAAAAACACAAGGTTTTTCGTTAAAAACTATGACAAAGATTCAATTTTTATTCTTGAAAGAACCAAGAAGAAGATAGAATTATTTGGTGAAGGAAAAAAAAAAAAAGAACCTTACAAGTTTGTGTGCTATGATTGGAAGAGAAATCTAGAGAGATAAAGAGGAGAGCGAGAGAGGGAGAGAGAGATGCTAGAGAGAGAGCGCGGGGTTTGTGTGTTTGCCAGTGAGTGTTGAGGTGATTTTTTTCAAGCAAAGTGTCTCTCTTTTTAATAATGATGACAATTTTCATGTCCTAATCATTCGATGTAATTTAGGTTATAAAAAAAAAACCCTTTCCAATTAGGTTTTTTTCCTAGCTTTTTTTCAAAGATAGGTTTTTTATTGTCAATTGAATTTAATATATTTTGATGGCTAAAACTAGATTAAAAAATGTTAAAATAGATGGAGAAATTAATCTTGCTTGTTGAATTATTATTATTATTATTATTATTTAACCTTGGTTGTTGAATTTGAAAGAAAGGCTACGAGTTTCTGCAGATGGAGAAATTGACAGTGTTCTCCTTGTAATAAAAGAATTATAATGGCAATGCGTTGTAAAAGAATTTTAAAAATATTAAAAATATTTTTTTAAAAATTAATATATTTTTAATTTCTTCAAATTATTTTGATATACTGATTTTAAAAATAATTTTTAAAAAATTAAAAATGTTATGAATATATTTTTTTAAATAAAAATATTTTAAAAAATAACCATAATCATACTTTTAAATATATTTTTAAACCTAAATTTTTTTTTTACTTTAAAGGCGCGGATAAAATGTAAATAGATTTAATTCGTGAGAGTTGGTAAAATAAATGTAATTCCAAACACCCTCTCATTTTCAAGAATTCCATGATTAATTTAATTACAAGCAACATTAAGTGATGTTCATGATAAGTTTTGTCTGTCAAGTGCTAAAGTAATCAAGCAGGTTTCCCTTTCTAAATTCTCTGCAAATAATTCTATCAATGGTTTTAAATTTTTAGAGCTTTGATTCTCTCTTTTCCTCTATGTTCCATGAAAGTAGACCCTTTCCGAGAAATTTTATTAATGCTCGCACCATAAACACTAAATATTTAAAAGAAAACAAGAAAATAATAAAATAATAATAAAAGAGATATTTTTTTTTTATGGAATCACACATAATTTTCTTTCTCTCTCCCCTATAATGTAAATGTGTGTTTGTCCATGCGTCCAATCACATTTTAAAAGATGGTTGGCCGCAAAATATATTATTTTTTAATTTTTTTACATAATAAATCATATTTTATAACGTGATTGACCATATATATGTATATATATATAAACAAACAGCTCTGAATATTTAGTTATTATAATCTGAGCATGATAAAATTCCTCACCATTTTCCATCAATACATGAATTATCAGTCTCGAAAAATAAAATATTATTGAAGGTAGAAAGATATTCTAAATCTTGTCTCCATATTACATTAGTGGAAAGGGTGTCCTATTTTTCTCTTAAGAAAACAAGAAGAAGAACAATTTGGCACCTCACAGAGATCCAATCCCACTAAATTAGCAGATGACGAGGGCTCAAATGATGAGTGGGTTTTGACTCAAGTTATTTTCTCCTTGAAGATTTATTCGGCCCTCTCAAGGGGTTTTGACTTTGATAAACATGCATGAGATCCATTCGAGAAACAGTGCTGTATTGTTGGCTGGCAATAATTAGGTGGGGCAAGAGAAAAGCAACTTGATTGATTTGATTTGATTATTAATTATGATTAGCAATTTCATCATCAAGAGAGGCCAACTATGTTTGAGGGTCGTCAGTTGACATATGGAGCCAGTTAACTACGTAGAATTGGTCTTTTTACTTTTCTTCTTTTGTATTGTGGACTTTCTTTATTAGAATCCATGTACTTTGCCTGGCCTTTTTGGACTAGGGTTTCCCACATGGCTGGACTCCATTTCTGCTATGATTTTTCATCCCTCCTTTCACACCCTCTCTAGATTTAATCCTGTGAAATGATTTCTTATTTATGATAGTTATAAAAACCGATATAAATTCAGTGAATTAATCTAGATTATGTTCATGTTGTTTCAAAATTATTTTTTTCTCAAAAAAATAAACTAGATCGTATTATAATTTTAACCATATCAATTATATTTGATTGGATTAACTTTTACTCGACTGGGTATAGAACTTAGGTGATAAACGGATCAACAAGTTCATCTAGCCGGCAAAGCTGAGTTAAGTAACATTATGGAAAACTACATAACTTAATTTTATGGTCCAGAATTTTAAAATATGATTACCCACATTAGGTGTAGATATAGCTAAAACGATTTTGAATCTTATGATGAAAGAGATAAGCTTTGCCCACCAAAAGTAACAAAGAAAAAGACGGACTATGAAAGAGGTGTCAGGGCAGAGTAGTCTTTAGAGGAGAATAAAGGGGAAATGGATAACAGAAAAAAGAAGAAGGAGAAGAAGCTGGGATTGCTTGAATCTTCCAGCCTTCAATCCCTGCCTGCCTCAGAATCCAAAGGGGCTGAAAATTACAACGGGGGACAAAATCCACAGGGGGCAACATCGGTGTTGAAGGGGGGATGCTGTCTTTGATGGTATTTTCCATATATATATATATATAAGGCGTTCTCTTATTGGGTCCCACTTAGGGCTTACCCACTCATTCCAATAGGGTCCCAACCCCCAGCTGGAAAGGTTGACATGGATCCACAAGCAAGTGGATGTTTGGTGGCCGGAGAGCAAAGCTACAATGACTTGGAAGTGTGTGGAGAAGCATGCACTCTCTTTCTGCTGTGGACACATGGGCTCCTCTTTCAGTGGCATGGACTGCACATATCCATCATATCTAAACCATTGAGAACAAGGAACAGATGCAGATACAGAAAGATTGCAGCCCAGATGAAGTCATCATTCATGGTTGAAACGCTTGTTCAAGTCGTCAGTGTTGTGTATGACTGCAGCTAAGGAACTGTATATCGCTGCTGACAACTTTCTGAGGGAAAAGTACCTGCATTGAATATCAACGCAAGAGGAAATTAGTGACAGAGAGACACGGTTAGATGAATTTATGAAGCCCCACGTAGCCGCCTGAACCCACGGTTGAAATCATGGCCTCTTCTTTTCGCAGCCCAGAATGTATAATCTTCTAAATACATTCTTCTTCAAGCTGGCTGGGAGAAAAAGGTGTCCTTCAATTACTTGTGAGTAGCCCTTTTTCATGGATATTTTCTGCCTTCGGCAAATTAACAAGTCATGGTCCTTTCCTAAACACTCAGTTTTTACTCGTTAGTCGTTATAAATAGATGAGCATTTCAATCTATATATATATATATATATATATATATGCATGCAGTCCTGCCTCCTCTACCGGCTTCAAATGTGGCATGCAGCAACATTACTGAATCTGACACGCACACACATGCTTAAGATACAAACTGACTGCAGCATTAATTCTGATTATACATTTCCAAATGCCATGTGTATTCTTGTTGCGAATAGTAGACAAAGACTCCATTTACTAGCTGCTAGCTTGAACAAAATTAAATTTATGACCAGAAGAAAGAAAGTGTGTAGCTAGCTAATTAGCCAATCAGGTAGGGTTTGGAAAACGACAGAAAACAGAGTGGCAGCTAAGTTGTTGGGAAATCATGAAAATGGGAAAAAAAATTATAAGATTTTACTTAATACATGAAAACCATGCATATACCATTGACAACTTCCAAACAAGCAATTGCATTGAAATTATGGATTGCACTTTCTTTATGAAGGCCCAACGTGAGTCAACCTGCAGGTACACTACTTGTTGTTTTGTTGTACCAGCTTCAACATCAACTGCTTTGTTATCTGTAGCTGCCATTTCCTCTCTTTTACAAGCATAAAAGTGGTGAAGCTATGTTGTTAATTTGGCAGCAGGAGAGACAGTGAAGGAAAATATTGGATTTCTATTGACAAGATCAGTGGAGACCTAGATAGGGGATGTGACAAAAACTGGAATGCAGGTGGTTAAGTTTGTTACTACCAAATTGGACTTCGATTTGACTTTTGTTTATGATCCAAAAAGGATAACATTTAATAACACAAGATGTCAAAGAATTCACAAGATGAACACTCATATAAACAAATTGAAATTTGGGACGACGGGACCACGTAAATCTCACGATCACCACCACAGAAACGCAGGCAACAGAAATCATTGCCACTCAACTCTTTTCTCTTCACTCTATCTCCATTTCTCTACAACTCTATGATAGTTACACAAAAAATGAAAAAAAAAAAGATAAATCACCAAGCCACTTCCTTTGATATCACTTTGCATGCCCAGTTTTCCTCTTTCCGTCGACAGAAACTAGCTGCCTTCCGGGTTTGTTTAGGCCTGGACTCACCCCATTTGGTAGTTTCCTTGACGGTGAAGGAATTAGTGATGGAATTAAACTCCTGGTAACAAAACCAGAAAAAAATGTAGTAAATATTCTGTTGAAAAAAATTTAAAGCGGGAGTCCTAAGAAAGTTCTAGTCTGGGAAAAAAATAAATGGCAGTGGTATCTCTAGTTCTAGAAGCTTTACATGTTGCAAGTAATGCGTGCATCGATCTATAAGTTTAAATGACCAGAAATGCTGCTCAGAGAAAAGTGATCAGTAATCAGACAGCTTATTACCTTGTTTCTGTGCTCTTGAATCCCCTAGGAGTAGTAGTCTTCTTTGTTTTAGATCCCAAAACATTGGGGTTGGGAAGGCTGCTCATTCTAGGGATATTAGATTGCCATAGCAAGTCTGGCTCAGAAGAATCACTTGTTGCAGCCTCGAGTTCGTCAGACTCATCGGTGGATGCCATTTCAAACCTACCCCTCTGAGCATCGTACTCTTGGCTGTCCCTTGTATTTGGTGAAGATTTGCAGAGTTTTTCTGGGTAAATCTTCGAAGGGTCTCGAGCATAACTCTGATAAAACATCTCAGGCGACTGTATGCTGTCTACTTCCCATTGTCCTGCAGGATTTTCATCTCTGTTTGCACTGTCAAGCCTGTTCACCATGACCTTGTCAACCCAGTCACCAGACACTGATTCTCTATCATCCTCCTTTCCACTCATCGAAGGACAGGAAGCAGGTAGCCATGGAGGTGAATACATTATCAAATCTTGGGGATCCAAGCTTCTTCGCCTTCTTGCAACAGACGAATAGTTGTTCCTAACCTGCAGATCATCAAATCAGTATGTAAATTTTGGTCATGAATATCAACTTTATTCTTTGATGGACGGCTACATCGGGAAAACATATGCATAATACAAACACACAGTACAATCATTTTAACATGATGTTTGAGATGATTGTCTCATGATAAAATGACATGTCTTAGTTTAAGTAGTAAAATAAGCATTATCCAAATTATTAGATGGGAATTCCAACATTAACAGATGCGTAACCTTGGCAATTAAACATAAATCAGGTGCACAACCTCAATGCTCAGGCAATATTACTCAATAAACAAATGTGTTTATAACAAAAAGCAGTGTTCAAATAATCAATTTCGGTCACTGGTTATGTTAACTTTTACCTCTGAATTACCATTCTCCATCTGCCTATGACCGCTTGTTAAGCTACCTGCACTTGTTATGCTACCTGCACTCTGCCAACTGTGAGAAGGAGAAGGCAAACCAGACTTCATTTTAAGTCTTTCCGGGGTGCTGGATCGAGAATGATGTGAGTGTTCTGACTCTACTTCCTTCGATGCTAAGGCTGCTTTGAGATTAGCAATCTGAAACCGGACAATGTTATAAGTGACTCGCGGTATTTCTTGTGGAAAAAGCACATGAGAGATAACAAGCCAGTCAATAATAACAGAAATGGGTACTCCAAGACATACCCTATGAAAGAGATGCTGATAATAGGCAAACATGTCATTTTCTTATGTAATGTATGAAGACATAAATTGAGGCCAATTCTAAACTTCATCTGAAAACCAAAAAAAGAAAGATGAGGCGCATAGAGTAGAACCTGCTCTTTCAGCTCCTTCGCCTCTGAACTATCTTTATTAACTCGAGCAGCACCAAGCTCAACAGTGGCAACCCTTTCAGCAAATTTAAGTGTACTAATTGTTTCTCCAAGAGCATCAGTCTCGGGACTTATGTGCACAAACATGAGCGTCTTAGCCTGCCCACCTGGTGGTTATTGAGAACAGAAAAATAGTTGGGATGGGATTAGATTATAGAAAGCAGGGAAATAGAATGTCCTTGGTTAATCTTACCAAGTGAATCTTGTAGTAGTTGGGTAAGTTTGCTGTTCCGGTAGGGAACGTGTGAGTTTTTTTGAGCAAGAGAGGCAATCACATCTCCCAAAGCAGAAAGAGATTTATTGATATGCTGTGCTTCCTTTAATCTATCTCCTGTCACCTCAGATTTGTCAATCCGTTCACTTCCTGCCAGGTCAACAAGATGCATTGAACCACGGATTACTGTTCCAGATGCCAACTCTCTCCCTTGAACATGAACTGTCAGGCAGCTGCAAACATGGGCCAGTTATGAGTTTCGTTTGGTTAAGCACTATATATTATTGAAATGGTTTTCCAAAAATCACACTTGCAACATGGAACATTCATTAAGCACACCTATGGGATCGACTGCTGCGATCGTTCATTGCTGTAGCGCTAACTGCACGATTCCTGTGCCCAGTGTTCATCAAATTTAAGACGTCAGATGGTGATGATACAGTTACAAGACTTGCTTCTGGTACATTAATTCCATTCTGAGAACTGTTTCGAATTTCTAATGTTTACAGGAGTTAAGAATCCAAGTAGAAAGGTAAGCTGGATTGAAGAAAAAGACATTATTTTAATGAAAGAAAGTAGTGTCATGAAGGATATCTTCTGTTAACACCCTCAGTTACAAGGAGATCCCTCACTTGCTCGTTGTAAATCTCAAGCATTTGGACAGAGATATCATAGCAAATAACTTCCTTTCTTTGATCTGAAAGGAGAAATAGATCGCTTAATGCCCTGTAGTTTACACCTAGACTTTCCTCTGTGAGCTCCTTGGGACCGGTCTGGAAAATGAAACAAATGAAGTTAAATGAGTAACCAAAGGGTTAACAAAAATCCATGTTTTAATAAAGGTACATGAATCCTCTCACCATAGTATATGTCTTTCCGGATCCAGTTTGACCATATGCAAATATACACACGTTGTAACCATCAAGAACAGAACGAATCAGAGGCTGGGTGTCTGCAAATACCTCCTCTGCAGGAAAGCCAGGAGTTAAGAATTTTAAATAGGAAAACTGATAGGAATGAAAAGGAACCCGAATGAGGCCTCACTAACCTTGAGTTGCCAAAGGACCGAAAACCTTGTTGAAGCTGAATGATTTGCGTCCCTCTTTGCCATATTTTGAAGGGGTGCTAATTGTGATGTTCCCTTCATCTATGTGATCCACCGTACTAAAACGACTTGCTTGCCCAGTCAAAAAGGGTCTTACTCGGCAATATACTCTAATATTTCCTAATGAAATATGTTCATTTCCATTAAATTTAGTGAAGGAAGAAACTTAGTATATGAGTGCAATAAAGCCATGGAATCGGAATTTAAATATCCGGTATACCTTTCAGGTCCTGCACTTGATTGTATAACTTGCGATTCTCCTCGAGGACTCTCTGGTAGCCTGAAGCTGCATGAGCTAGACCATGCAAGTGCTTACCTGTTTCAAGAAACTAGTGGTGATATAGATTACTCTCCTCTAACAACCTGGAATGAGTGTGCAGAATATCAATTTTACCTAAATTGTTGAACTCCTCCACATATTTCATTTGCAAAAGGTGCATTCCTTCTTTCGTAGCATAAAGAGTAAGTTTCAGTTCCTGCAGGCACCATCATTTTTCACTGATTAACATCTTGTGGAGAGGTAAAAAGACTTCAACTTACTGAGACATTACCTTAATGTCTTGTTGTTGTCGTTCAACCATCGCTTGCTGTTTCAAAAGCTGGTCTTCTGATTCCTCATGAGGAGTGCCCTTATGATGGCAGCATTCCCGTGTATTGATTTGTGTGGAAGTTTCTTCTTCCATCTTAACCATAGCATTAGCAAAAGAAAATGTCACCCAATTGGTCTAAAAAATTCAGAGCCTCGATAAATGTAAACAGCACCATTCTAAATTACATTCCAAGTTATGCAACTGCATTGCATGAGTGAAACATTCATATTGCAAGCCAAGCGCATACCCTTGTATCACTTGAAGTTCTTGAAAGAGGCATGTCAGGGCTAGCTACTTCCATATCCTTTGCTGTTATTTTCGTCTGTCAGATTCGCATTAATGATGAGCCACTTAGATTTCTTAGCAATAGTATGAAGAGGTAACTTTTCAGTGCTCACAGATAAGGGGAGAGGAGGGGTAAATATCATTCTAACAAACATAATAGCTCACCTGCTCATTCTGGCTCACCAACCGACGCTCAAACTCCTCCATGACTTTGTTTAGCATAGACTCTACTATCTGTTTCCAATCAAAATGCTATGATTTTCTGACAAGTTTCTTTTGCATCTACTTTAGAGGATAACAAGCATTAGAACACTTACATTAGGTATTTCTTCTTGCTTCCTGTTTGAAAGAGCTGCACGGACAAGCATATTCAAGGAACGAGAGGCACCCTGCACATACTTCTGATTGCTACTTGCCTTTCTAAATTCGTAAAAAAAAAATTGAAAAAAATAAAAATTGAAAAGTTCACTTACAGCTTCACTGAGGTCATTGAATTGTTCATCAAATGAAGACGGATCACCACTGCATGCCCGAGAGAAGGAATTCTTGAAAGGCTCGGAATTTTTTCGCATGAAGGGTTTCCCACCCCCGCAGGTTGAGGGTTTCAAATTTCCTCCATATTTCCATGTCCCTATCCCACCACTCAGTTTCCAATCACTATATGATTTGAGTGCTAGAATACAGTTCACTACCCTTGCAGATTTTCCTCCCTGGAAGTTAATGATACAAAAGAATATCACTGCAGGAAGACGACTCTCACAATGCAATAGAAGATTAGCATGGTTTTTTCTAGATTTTCTGTTCTGTTTCTACCTGAACTTACACTCTCACCTGTTCCAAATCAGAGGCTTCAAAGGTTGGAATTCCCATTTCCTCAATAGCTACCAGGAAGTTTCTCACATTTTCGAAGTACTGAAATGCTGATAAAGCTGCCCCATCAGGAACTTCAACAGAATCACCAGGACCTTCCACTACCTACGGACAATACAGATCACCAAAACCGACTAATAAGTATAACTATCCCCGAAACATAATGAAATAAAAACCAGGTTGAATGAGACCTTTGGAACTGCTCCAGGTTGAACCTTGTTAAGGACGTTACATAAGATTATCCCACTTCGCAATCCAAGCCTGAATTCTTCTTCAGAGGGCTCAGCTGGCAAATCTTTACCCCCAACAACTCCCACTGTTTTTCGAAGCCACCCAGCTGCTTCATACCTTCTCAAGGCTGCAAACCAATACAAAAATGTAAAATCACCAAACTTCTCTTTTTTCCTTTTCTTCTTTTACGGAAAAATATGTATCGAAACCAAATTTGGATATTTAAAGGCCTCCTATTCTGATTCCAATTTCGCTACAACAATTCCATCTAACCACACATGATGGGAAGTCCTCAGTGAATAAAAGTACAAGGAACAAGCACCATGAAAGAAGTAATTACAAGAAATCTCTAGACGTGAAAAAAGTTTCATCTAGATACTGCCTCAATGACCATCAATAAGAGATGAAACACATAAACTCAAATTATCAGGCTCAAAGGAAGAGCTTTCTCAATATTACTACAAAAATTTCTCAGGCAGCCAAAATCCACGAATCTAGCCGAGAAACACTATCAATAACAATATAGATCACATAATCCGCGACAAATCCTTAAATTCTACAAATTTCAATTCCATGATGTGCATTAATCCAACTTCTACGAATCAACCACCTAATCTATAAAATTCAACAGCCTAAACATAAATTCGTCATAGATCATCAAGATTCCACAAAAATGAATTCAAAACACAGACCGTAAGTTTCTCAAGCATCCAATCATCAAAGAACATAAACAAAAAGGCTTGATCAAATTCAATCAAAATGTTCAGCAAAGAAATAAATGATCAAGGAAAAGATTGATATATATATCATACAAGCTTCTTCAGCTTTTCTTGAAGCCACCAAATCAACACCTCTTGGTCGAGCTCCAATATTTTCTTGAAGCATATCCTCTACAACAGAAGCAACAGAGAAAGGCCAAACTTGTTGTTGCTGCTCTGTTGCCATTCTTTTCTTTTCTTTAAAAATACCACCACCCCACAACAACAAAATCCAATCTTAACAATTCTAAAGATCTTACGTCAAAAAAACCAATTCAAGATTTTCCCGTTTAACCTCAAAAAACGCCAATAAAAGTGAAAAGTCTGTATATTTCTATGTATACAATGCAATGTGTGGATAGCTGTTGTTCTTGTTGTATTCTTTGAGAGAAGACAAGAAATGTGGTGTTTCTCTAGATCTATAAAGAAGGTTTTCTTGAATTATAAGGAGGGAAAGAGAGAGAATTTTCCCGGGAAAAATTTCTCTCTTTACTTTCTCTGTGGTATTGGTTTCTTTTCTTTCTCTTTCTCTATCTGTTTGTGTTGTTGCTGAGTCTAATATTGAAGAGAGAAGGGCTGCCCGAGCCTGGTTCCGAACCTCCCGGTTTGGGCTGGTTTATAATTTTTGTAGGGTATAGAGAAAGTGAAGGGCTAATTTTTACCTTTATATATTATTCAGAATACTATTTATTGCTCACTTTTTTTGTATTTTTAAAACAAAAAAAAAACATTTACCTATTCAGAATATAATTTTTTTCTTCTTTAGTGAACTTGAGAAAAATCAAAGAGTTTATTTACTTTTTCATGCCTATATATATATATATATATTTTTCTAATCACATTTTATAAAAAAAAAATATTCTCATTTAAAACAATTCATTTATGATTAAAAAAATAATATTCCACGATCTTTCGTGGAATTCCAATCCATTTTAATAACAAAGGGAGTACGTAAAATCAAGTTATCATTTGAGATTGATAACACTTGGTATCATGTCTTAATTTTTTATGTATAATTATAATACTTGTATCATGTCTTAATTTTTTATTTCTAAATTCTCGGTTTTTTTGCATCAAAATAATAATCAAATATTATTTAATTGTTTATCAAGAAATCCCTTCACTCTATATATATATATATATGATTTTGTTTTCCGCAGCAAACATGATTTCTCCCTCACCTCAAATAAAAGTAGATCAAAGGAATCGATCAAGTGGCCGTGTAGAGCAAAGAGAGTCTAATCAAACCTCTTAAATTTGATGGAGAAACATACAACGTTGTTTTCACTTCTTACCTTACATAATTAATGGCACGAACTTCATTAGCCTTGCCAAGTGCTAAGACAAGAAGCTCCATCCCTTTTATGTTCCTTTACATTTACATTGAAAATGCCACCAAAAAATAACAGAATAACAACTCTTCTATGATTAGTGGTATTCGTTCACCCGAAATGGACTGTCTTTTGCTTGTGTATAAAGGCTACATCGACATGTGATCATGATTAGAGAGCTTAATCATATCATTAAACAAAAGTTATAAAGACATGATCCTATTAAACAAGGCCTCTTATAACTTCAAATGGATGTAATTTAATTAATAAAATTTTAAATTTATTTTTTAAAAATTATCAGTCTTATAGATTTAAGAATTATTAAAAATTTGTATAATTATTAATTTTAACATTTATAAAATTAATCAAGTAAGTTATTCGCAAACCCACTTGAACAACTAATTGATAAATTATTCACAAACCCACTTGAACAACTAATTGATAAATAAATAAACAACACCTCTTACTTTCTGTCATACCACCATTGTACCTGTCAGCAAATGAAACTTTACCTGTAGAGAATGTTACTTGAAAATGTTGTTGCTTTGCTTATTATTTGAACCTTGCGCTCCTTAGCAGCCCATTAACTAGCAGACATTTAAATATTCTCCGAGTTTATAGCACCAAGAAATATAATAAATCTTTGTGTGCACTGCGTGGCTTTTAGCCTCCAATTAAAGATAATCCACGACAAATAAGTTTTTTTTTATGAATGCGTCAATTTGAATGTGGCTAGCTTGTGTTAAAGGAAACTTAGTGTTGGCCATTTTTATTAAAATTGGTTTATCTAGAGAGATCAATCTAATAATTCATTGGTTTCAGCCCTGGTTCTGGTTTAGGTTGAATTTTAAAATAAATTATATGAAAATTGATTTAACCAAACTTTAAAGGTGAGTATTTTATTTTAAATCTAGTCTAGTTTACTAATCAAATTAAAATTTATATTTTTTTAAAATTATGAATCAAATTAATCTGGTTAACCAATTCAAATTAACCAGTTTAATTTAGTTTTTTTCTTTAAAAACCGGCTAAACCTATATCCATTCAATTGAGTTTTTTAAGCCTTTTTATAATATCCATGAATTTTTCTTAACTATTTAGATTTTATATTATTATAGATCTAAAGTGTTTTTCAAAGAAAAAAATTCTTTATCATGAGCATTAGATGTTTTTTGGGTTCAAATCAAATTAATTTAGTTTAATTTAGTTGATTTGGACTTTCTCGAATCAAAATCAAACTAAATCAAACTGAGTTAAAAAAATTTTAAGTTTTTTAAATTAACTTTTTCAATTTATTTCCTTGGTTATGTTTTTTGGGTTAATTTTTTTCTTAATTGTTTTAGTTAATGTTTACTCTTATCACACTCTATCAACTCAATAGATCAATTTATAAACTGATTATTTGGTCAATATTGGATTTGATTTAAAAAAAAAAGTTAATATAAATTAACTTATCCAAACCATAACTCAAGCTTAAACCAAGTTTAATAACTTTGATTTTGATACGTAAAAATCAATATGAGAAAAACAACTCCAAATTTTAAAGCCAGGAAAAAGTACAGTTACCTAAATAAATTGGGACTCCATATATACGATTGAACCTAGTAATCAAAGTTCGCTAGAACATATACAAAAATTCTCTATATCAGAAGAATGAAACGAGGTTACAACTTGCAAGTGAGAGCATAAACAATCCTTCTTGTTTTAGGCAAATGGTCATTTTCAGTCATCAACATATAGTTGTTAAAAGATCATTAATTTATAGTTACCCACCTAGTCCAATACATACGTGGAGGTTTAGTTTCTTCATGACACCAACCAGAAAGTAAAGTAAAACTTAATTTAATGCCATAAGCAACTCATCTGAGCTTCTTTATTCACTAAAGGAAACCAGTAGGACAGACACAGATTTTCGGAGGAGAAATGGGCAGTTTCTCCTGTAGGACCTGTGCATAGAAAGTGACCATCAAAATCAGCCGTAAAGAGAAAAAACCAGGAAAAAGTCATGGCATTGTCTGGGTGCCATTGCAGTTGTCTCTGAAAGATGATGGCGAGCCAGATAACAATTCAAAGACACAGTGAGTGGAAAGCACATGATATGTGAGCATCGTTTCATGATTTGGGCACATTAATTTCTATTAATCAATGTTTTTCTGCCGATCCATGCAAGGGTTATATGAGGAGCTCCTCGTCTACCAAAGAACTCCATTATTCTTTTTCATTTTCTCCTTCTTTTCATGAAGAAAAGAATATCACTTTAACAAAAATATTGGCGTCTAACTGGGGCGCTCATCCTTGTCGGGAATTCTCTTTCATTTGGAATAGGTTTTGTTATTATTATTATTAGTTTTTATCAATGTTATAGCCATGAACGTTGTTATGAAATTGGTAAGGATTTAGTAATTTTGTCTCAAATCTAACTCATCTCGAGTTTTAAAAAAATAATTAAAAAAATTAATTTAATGTGATTCGGTCAAAAATTCAAATTTACTAGTGATCTAATTTCTTAAGAATTTATTTTAAAACAACATCATCTTAACTTACTAAAAAAACAAAAACATAAATTAACCATGAAAATGTGAAGACCTTGCCCCAATTCCGTTTAAAATCTATTAATATGAAAATGAATACATGCAAGGAAGTGAACATCAATTTACTAGATGTGTTGTTTCAAGAATTCTCAAATTCTAAAATATAAAAAGTGTGTATTTGCTTGTTCCTGTATTTTAAATGTGTTTTTAAAAAAAATTAAAAATTTTTATTTTTTTATTTACTTTAAATTAATATACTTTTAGTGTTATCAAATCATTTTGATATGCTAATATTAAAAATAATTTTTAAAAAATAAAAAAATCATTGTTATACATTTTAATACAAAAAATTATTTAAAAAGCAACTACAATCATACTTTCAAATAAATTCTTATATAGAAATAGTTAATCTATTAATATGAAAATCATGAATTATATAAATAATTCATGCTTAACAAAAAGAAGTGTGCAGGACAATTTATGTTTTTATCCTTAGCAAATATTATTCACTTTTATTTGAATTTTTTATTCACTATTATTTGGATTTTTGAAAAAAGAAAACCCATAATCTGTTCAAAGGATTATATTTCGGATTTGTCATTGACTAATCTGCCAACCATAATATCGTTTGTTTGTGTAAGCAAAGCGGTAAATAATCAATCATAGCAAGGACTTTAATGTCAATTCAGGCCCCTTGTTCCCTCCAATATTTAAAAAGTATTCAAACATATGGTTCGGACCCAAACCTCACAGGTTCGGATGATTAATTTTCAGAGATGCGTAATTAAGGGCCATTAAAGTAATAGTGGGCCCCAAAGCGTGGTCCAAGTGAGGGCCCAGTGAACCATGCCGGCATGCTCTAGTTTAAGCCATACGGATGCCGGCCCAATCTAAACCCTTGGTACAAGTGGGCTCCCTTGGCCCTGTAAAAGACCGACCTAAAACATATCCTCTTTTTTTTTTTATTATTATTATTAAATAAAATCTTAAAAAAAAAAAAAGATTCACGTGAATTCTTCTTTTCTCTTTTGTAAATAGAAAAAAGTTGTCTGTGTTTAAATAAAATAAAGAGGAAGATTTGAACAGGAAGAAATTAAAAGAGGCCATGCTCCTCCCAAAAGACTGGGGCTTGATTTTAATAAAATAATTGAGCTGTTTGATTGCATATTATTTTAATTAAAGAAATATTTTTATAATACACTTCAATTCAAAATTATATTTTTCTTGTCAGATTATCATTCTTTATTCGAATTATAAAGTACTTCATATTCGAATTAAAAATTTATTAATTAATAAAATATAATTTTAATTTATTTTATTTTTAAAAAATAAAATAATACCACTTTAATTTAAAAAAATATATTAAGTTTTACTTAAATTCTGATTAGGTTATGGATGACTTATAACATCGATCAAATTCAATTAAATTAATTTTTAAATAATTTGATATAAAATTTATTTTAAATTTAACTGAAATTTATTTATTATTTTGATTTAAATTTAATAATTATTTTTTAAATTATAATCATTAAAAAATTGCATCTATATAACTCATTCCTCATCCACGCATGCAATGATCTAATATCAGTAAAATTGTAATAATTGCTCAAGATTTTTTTTTGAAAAAAACGACCAAACAAAATCAGACGAACGC